TTTACTTGGCGGGTTGTGTGATCATCCCGTCACCCAACCCGCCCATTTAAATGGGTTGGGTTGTGGATAACCGTTGGGTTAACCATTACAAACATTAGCATTAATTCCTTAGCCTTTTTTTTATTTTCTTCATTTGAATTAAATAATTTATAATTAGTGCATTAATTTTCTATTAATTATTGACTAAATTTAGTTTTGTCTTGAAGCAACACACTTCACCCAATATAAATCCAAATCAATTTGACCCAAGTCCGGACCAGCTCAACACGGTCTGGCCCGATCCAACATATACCCATCTATGTCGACCTGAATCCGAAATAGACCTCGGATCGGATTGCTCGGTACTGTTTGCTTTTCCCGGTTTGGGTCGTCTGGTCCAACCATTATCCACACAGACAGTCCGACCCAAATCTGAAACAGGTCAGGTCGGGTGGTGTTCGAACCCTAAACCACATTGCTTGCGTTGCTCGGTTTGGATCGTCCACTTTCGTTCATATCCATACAACCCGACCCGAATTCGGTACCTGTCCAATCGGACTGAACCGGTTCGGGCAGGGTCTAGTCCAACCAGATTGATCCGGATCTAAACGGTTCAACCACTCTTGAACTTGATGTGATTACCTCGAAGACAATCCAATTAGATAGTTCAAGTTGGTCTGACCGGTTTGAACCTATGTGGTTCATCAAATCCGAAACCCGAACATAGTTAAATGGCTTTGCTGCTTGTATAAAAATAACATGCATGTAATGTGATTTGAACCTTCACCACTTGTGTAAATAGCAACTACTATTACCACTAAGCCATGACTAACTTATTTGTTAAAAAGGAGTTAGTTTTTTGTTTTAAGTGCATAAATATAAGATTAATGGGTTTGGGCGGATTGAATTGGGTTAAAGCGGGTTTGGGTTGAACCCAACCCATTTAATTTTATATAACTGGGTCATTAACGGGTTGGCGGGTTAAATGGGTTGGGTTGAAACTCAACCCAAACCAAATCCAACCCAACCTGCCCAATTGCCACCACTACTTAAACCATTGAAACAATATTGAACAAGCTTGTAATTAATTTATATCTCTTTTCATTGACTGGGAACTGATACAGAATTTTCCTTTATCATACAGTGTTGCTATTCCACTGATTTTATCACTTCCAGCTACTGTTCTTTCATTGACCAAAAACGACCATCTGAAGGTTTGCATATTTTTGCCATTGTAATGCTTTTTTATGAGTTTTCAGTTTCCATGACAACTTTTTCTTTGCAATACTGTTACAATTATTATATGTAGAAGAACACAAGTTAATTATATTTACATTACCTCGCTACATCTTTTCTGTTACTTTACTCATTTCTGGAGAACCTTACAAGACAGAAAATAGTCTATTTATGTTTTATCAAATAGATTGCTTAGGATCCAAAAATAACAACATACAGAATGATCATGGTTTGCACTGTGCATCTTGGAAGTGTTAGCAGGAAATCCAACTAAGTCTAGGATTGAGGCTATGAGAAAGGATTCTAGGTATGTCAATGGTGTGGCACTAGAACTAATGGAATGATGACCATGATTACTGTAGCCATGAGGCAGTAATAATTAGTCGGGATGAGGCTTGGATGACCAGTTTAAATCATTATATGTCATTTTGTATTTTTTTATGACAGACCTTGTTTTTAGAGGATATATCATCCTCTTTTGTTTGCAAAGTTTCACTTTTATATGCTAATAAATTTATTATCAATAAAATACTTTTCACTTATTTATAACTATTGTTTACCTATTAAAAAAAGAATGCTCGTACTAATAAGTAATAACCACAGCTGAAGGCGCAAGTCATTTGATTACAATGCTTCACTGCATCTTGATTCCTAGGCCTTGATACTCCAGCTATGTAGTTCGTCTATTTCTCTTTTCTGTGGTTGACCTTAATTTTACTATTATGTTTTTTTCTTATTTCATTGGGTAGGGAAGCAAAAAAAAAAGAAAATAATTCTAGCAGATTCCTTCGCTTTGATTGAGAGACAGTCCGACAGTTCTTCAATTCCAATTTCATCTTCACATGTTTCTGGTTTATCTATTTTGTACTTGTCAGGTTAAGGTCAATACTGTGCTGGGCTCCAATTCACCTCCTCTGACAGTGAGACTTGTCCGTGTGTTCAGATCTGATTCAAAAGAAACCTCTGTTGTTGAGAACCAGGTGCTAAATTGCATATGCTTTTGGTTTATCTAAACATAATGTGTAGCTTTCATATTGTTGTATTACCCTATATGTGTTATTATCTTTTCTTGAATATATTATTAACTTCCCCTGTTTTGATGTCTCTAATCCTATGCACTACAGGAACTCAAGTTTGACCCTGAAAGCTCAGTCCATTCCTTGGATGTCTTGCCACAGACTGTTGATGTTGGGAAGTACATATGTGTTTTTGAGGTAATCTTGTTTTTCTCTGTTGTCATTTGGGAACTGATTTTTCTGTGGCTTTGATCTTGGATATGGCATCTTCTAAATGTTACAGGTTGTGCATCATGATCCTGATAATGAAAAAATGTATGCCACTGGAGGCCAATCTCAAGTACCAATATATATTACAGGATTAATTAAAATTGACAGTGCAGAAATTACTATCCTGGATAGTGATGTTGGGAGCATAGAGACCAAACAAAAGTAAGTTATGCTTATTTTGCAGAGTAAATGTTATCCTTGAGTCATTGGCATATAGAAATGCTTTAATGTTTTAATAAGAAAATTTATGAATAAAATATAAAAGGCAGACAGTATAAAAGGGGTGACAAGATAACACCCCCCAATCCCCACTTTACAATGAACTGAGAAAACCTCCAGAAAACAGAAAACTCCAATCTCCATTACAACATTTTGACTGCTGATATCTCCAAAGTTACCCTAAAGGAATTTCCAGAATATCTGCATAACCATGATTTTTTTCTGAAGCTTGTCTGTCTGAATACTTGCCTTAGGTCCATAGGGTTTCTCAGATTACTATTACAGTATGAAATTTCTATCAATGTCATGTAGCCGTTCATATTTTGATAAGCTAGAAAGTGGTTGAACTCTCTGATATATTGGACCTTGACTCTCTACAGGTTTCCCTATCAAGCTCTTGTCCATTTGACATATTGCAATTCTCCACTGTTGAGAAATTTTAAGTTCAAGTTGGTGTTTATACTTCAGATGTTAAATGAGTATTTGGTCCTATTGAATCTTTTCTGGCATTCATGATTCACCTCGAATTGATACTTTGAGTTGTGAGAGGAAGCTCTTAGGGGCAGATTGATAACAACTGAATTCACAGAACTGAGTTGCTTTTCAATTTGTCATTTGTGAATAAGAAATTAAGTAGGGTATAAGCTCCTTAATTGCTGACATGCCAACAAGTCCATTTAACTGTCTAAAATGTTCTTCAAATATTACACTAAGAAATCATAAAAATATATTAAATACCAACCCATCCACTTACAATTCTGCTTGTATCTTTGTCATGTACTTGATCTTTCTTAATAAGATCAATGATTAGTTATTGGTTCTATTATCATTCTGAGTTCAGAAACTTTAACCAGTAACTGAAATACGAAGTTGGTAATACATTTGATTCATTCAGGCTAGATTTCTCTGGAGAAACTGCAGTATCACTATCAGCGAATCATCTGCAGAAGTTGCGTCTATCCTTTCAAATGACTACTCCTCTTGGAAATGCCTTTAAGCCACATCAGGTGTGTGCTCAACTTTCTAAATATGCAACCTTAAGATCTTCTTTCCTGCATTAGTTTGATTGAGAACTTTATTTGATATGCAGGCATTTCTCAAGTTGATACACGAAAGCAAAGTTGAGCATATCTTTGTGTTGGGAAACAGTGGAAAACAGTTTGAGATAATCCTAGTTAAGTTTCTTCAACTAACCATGGTGATTGGTTATTCAGTTCAGCAACTATTATTCGACACTTTTCTTAAAAATGAATACATGGATATGCGAGCTTTTTTGATAGATGCATGGATATGCAATTTTTTTTTTATAGATACATGGATATGCAAATTAGAATCTTAGATTACCCCTTCAAGATAAATATCCTGTTAGCAACATTCAGTGCAGAGACACTTGATTTTACTTGGTATGAATGTTGGAATTCTTAGCTTCCAACACTTGTACTCATTCTGATGCTACAGTTTGAATCTTCTTTCCTTTATATGTGCATAACATTAATCATATTATGAGTTCTATCATTTCCTTTTGGGATCTCCTTGCTGACAGAGTAGCAAGGGATGGGGAGTGAATTCCCTGCCCCACCGAACCTGATTATATATTACATATTAAATATATAAATATATAATATTTTTTATATTATATATATCAAAATATATTTAAAATATTTTTATATTCAAAAAACCCTTATTTTAAGTAAATCTATTTTCTGAAAAAAAAAGTTTAAAAATTTCAGAGATTTGGGTCCCCAGTGGATAACCCCTCTCTCACGGGGATCAGTGATGAAGGGTCATTTTTATCCCCGATAGGGATGGGACTCAGGGACGGAGATTTGTTTCAAAGTTAGGGTCGTGGATGGGGAGTATGGTCCCTGCCCTGAACCCACCCTGTTTCCATTCCTATCTCTTGGTGTGTCTTTACATGGGCCCTGCCATTTCTATAGCACGTTCGGGAAGGTTCATGCACCCTTAGCATTGCTTTCTAACATACTTTAATTTATTATGTACTGTCAGACTCCTTTTTTTTATTGATAATAAAGGGGCTTTTTTTTTTTTGAGAAAGCATAAAGGAACTTAAATAAAGGGAAATAGTTAGGCAAAATAATAAATTTCTGGACTTGCAAGTTACAGAGGGAAGCAATAACTATCCATAAAGAGCTTTATGGGGTGGAGGTAAACCAAAAGAACAATATAACCAATATATGTCTTTAGACAATTGTGCCCACTCCTTGTTAATCCATTTGTTGCTTGCATTTGGGATTGGTTTTTCTCCTTGTTGGATGCAGGTAGGCTTCGCTCTCTAGTATGCAGAGCCTTTTTTTACCCCACAACTTTCAAGTGGCTAAAGAAAAGGGGGAGGATAATGTGGAGATGCACCAGGGCAGCTATAATTTGGAGAATCTAAGAAGAAAGAAATGTAAGAATGTCTATGGAAAAGGTAGTAGGATGCAATGATAGACTCTCTAATAGGGTGGCGCATTTGTGAAATCAATGGAGACGTTTTCTCAATTTTCAACAAATGACATAATTAGGAAGTGGTGGACTCATCATCAAGTAAATACCTAACGAGCAGAAGTTGGATACCACTGGAGGAAGGAATTTACGAAACTAAATTTTAATGGAAGCAGTAGAGGAAACCCAGGATCCTCAGGAGAAGGTGTATCAGAAATGATGAAGGCTGTATTATGGCACTGTTCTCAGTAGGGGTGTCAATGGACCAGTTTTGGGTTGGACCCCATCTAAATCAAAATCAATTTAGACGGATTGGATGGACCAATAAGACATATTGAACTGGACCAGTCCATGCTTAATGGTCTAAAGTATTTATTGGATTGGACTGGACCTGGTCCATCCATAATGGATTTATATTGGATTTGGTCAGATTTAACCAACATTCAGTTCATTGATAGATGATAAGAATATGGTGCCAATGGATCAGGTTTGGATTGGGACAAATCCAAATTAATACCAATTTGAACAGATTGGACGGTCCAAACGTTGAATTGGACCAGTTCAAAATGGTCCAAAGTATTCATCGGATTGGATTGGACCTGGTCCATTTGTAATGGACTCATTTTGAACCGGATTGGATCGGACCAAATCCGGTCCAATTAACACCCCCAGTTCTCAGGACCAATTGGTATAGGGGACTCTTTCAGAGCTAAAACTATGACTGTCTTGGAAGGAGTAAAAAGGGCAAGACAAATGAATGTGCCTAAGTTGATTATTGAAGGAGATTCTAGCTTGGTAGTTGAGTGGTTACAAGATGGAGAAGCAGTTACAAGAGTCCAATTAGGGGTATGGAAGTGAAGATGCAATGGGTCCAAAGGGGAGCTAATTGTATGACTGACTATTTAGCTAAGCAAGAAGTGAGGAGAGAACAAATGTTTTGGGTACAGAATTGCAAAAGTGTCGATGTAAAGGGAGAGGTAATACCTTATCTCTTAACTGGGTGGATTTATATATGTACACATTTTTATTATGTTTTAATAGAAGTCATGGCTATTGACAAAAAACATGGAGAGAGGAGACCCAGTGTAACATGGCCCTTGTAGATAGTCTCACATCCTATTCTTTTGCATTTATGCCAAGGCTATTACTGATCACAGAACCAGGTCCCAATGGGAATCTCCTAAGCTATTTAAGAAAGAGATCCTCCTGTCCCTCAATCAGTCAATCTCCAAACCCCCAGCCCCAGGGCCCTAGCATTCTTCCAATTGGCCTTAAACACAGACTCCCAATCTATTAAGTTATCTTTTCTGCTATACTCCATATAAAATTTCTAGTGATTTGCTGAATTATTTTGATTGTGGTGTACCTGGAAGTTTTTTAGGAAAGGTCCTCTGATGATATTGTATAATTATCAGATAGGAGACTTGTGATTCTATCGGGGCATCAAGAATGGCTTTTGGGGAGTTGGGGTCAATTCAATGGTGGCAAAAAATGGTAGATACTCATTTATCAAAAAAAAAGGTAGATACTTAGAGACTAAATGCAAGGAAACCAAACAGAAAATGCTGTGTAGGTTGYCAAGGGAGAAGATACCATACTAAACTAATTTCTGAGTATCATAGAAAGGCATGCTTGTCATCCATAATTGAGGGTTCCTCACCCTCCTTTTGAATTCTAATATAAATTTTATACCATTTATCAGAAAAAAAAAATATTAGACCAATTTATGAGTATCCTAATGAGAATGGTGAGGATGATGAAGAGTGAAGAGACAAGGGGATTGAGGAACATGAGCAAGTGAGTGTAGTTCTGTACTCATATAAAGGTGATTGATGACGAAGTGCAAATGGATAGATGATTGGATTATTATTATTATTATTATTATTATTATTATTATTATTATTGTTATTATTATTATTATTATTATTATTACTATTACTATTATTATTATTGAATGGCTGATTTTTGAATGGAGGAACTGAAGGATGAGAGGGTTGGAGGATGGAAAGAGCGGGTGTTGGGTAGTGGGGAGGAAAGTAGGAAATTAAAGGAGGTGGTGAGATGGAGAGAAGATGAAATTTATAAATGGGTTCAGGCCCAATTGGTTGGAGAAACTCCAAAGGGATCAGAAAAATAAGATTTCTTGGCTTTGAAAGACTAGCGATCGAAGGGCTAATGAATTGAACATCACCAAACTGGTTATAGAGGGAGATTCTAAATTGGTAATGGGCTGGCTGAAAGATTATGAAACTACAGCAATGGGAAGAGGAAATTTAAGTGGCTGACCAAGGATATTGAAGTGAAGCTGAACTGGGTAAAAGGAAGTGCTAATTCCTTTGCTGATGGGTTAGCCAAACAAGGGGTGACTAGGGACTATGTTTTGGGCTCTCTTGTAATCTTGTTCTCTTTGTTTATTTATTTATTTATTTTTTTGTCTTTGGGTGGGGGAGTTAGGAGAGTTTATCTCCCCTAAATTTGTATCTCTGTATCTATTTCTCCTTTCTTATTGAAAGTTACGAGTTATTGGTAAAAAAGACTAGCAATCAAAGGAGATTCACAGGTTGTAGTGGTGGCAATTTCTAACCCAACCCACAGGACCCATCCATTAGTCACCCATTACGTCAAGTAAAAAGGGTTGGGTTATGGGTATTCATTTGGGTCAGCTATTATATAAAGTTCTTTTGCTAGTAGGCAAATTGTTATATTTTTGCTCTGTAGCGAGGCCCTCACTAGGCAAATTTGTAATGAATCTGATGGCATAAGAACTTTTTTTTGGTGTCAAAATTGCTAGAAATAGCCCCAAGATACCCATTCTTCAATTTGCTGAAGATTGTCTCCTGTTTACTAGAGCGACTGTGTCAGAAATTCAAAAAATTGCAGAAATTCTGAAAAGCTATGCTAAAGCCTCGGGTCAAAGACCAAATTTTCAGAAATTAACTCTTCGTTTCTCAAGGAACCTTCCATTGTGGCTGCAAAAAAAAATTTGTCAAAAATGATTAAGATTGCAATTGAATCTTGTAAGTAAAATTACTTGGGTGGCCCAAATATTGTTGAGGGGGTAACTTAGGAAACCTTTAAAAACTTGGAAGAAAGAATTAGAGTTAAATTGGCTCGATAGAAAAGGAATACACCCTTCATTGCTGGGAGAATCCTTCTTAAAGTTATTGTGGCAATGATACCTCAATTCCAAATGGGGCATTACAAGCTCCTGAAATCAATGACCAATAATCCAAATAAACTGCAGAGAGATTTGTTCTGGGGTACGGATGGGTCCCGATCCCTGCTTCCTTTGGTGAGCTGGAAAACTCTTTGTGCTCCAAGATGGTTTAGGGCTAAAAAGCGTGGAATCACCGAATGTTGCTTCTATTGCAAAACTGGGTTGGAGAATCCTCATCTAACAAAATAATCTTTGAGTTGAGTACTTGAGTTTATGAAAAGCAAGTATTTAATAGAACAATTTTTTGGAAGTTAAATTTAAAAAAAGATAATTAAGGATACTTTTGATTTCCACTAGAAAAGCACAAATGATTGTGTCTGGTGGTTGCTTTGAGAAATTAATTATAAAAGCCATGTAATTTATATTTCATAAAGCATAAAATAGTTTCTGTTTTTTATTTTATTTTGAATCTCTTGATGCAAGACTTGGTTTCAAATGTAGTTGTTGGTGTTCTTATCATCACCATCATTATTGGTGCATCTTTACATCCTTGAGAGGTCATGGTTGTGCATAATTCAATTGGAACGACTTATTCATTTGGCCATATATTTCAGATGTTCTCACAAGTGTTTGTAAATGGCTTCCCGTTGTAGGATTTTCTTGGTCTGGTGGACAGATTGTACTACCTATCAGGAAGATATGACATTCAACTCACAATTGGCGATGCTTCGATGGTAAAACAAGGCATTTATCTGTTTTCCTTTGTATTTAGTTATAGGAATCACTGATCATTTGTCTTAATTTTTTGCAGGAGAACTCGTTCTTATGGGCTCTAGGCCATGTTGATTTAGATCTACCAGAGGCACCAGAAAAGGCTAAACGCCCTCCTCCACAACCTGCTGATCCTTACATGAGATATGGGCCCAAACAGGAGATAACCCACATCTTCAGGTTACCTGAGAAGCGTCCGCCACAGGATCTTTCTCTTGCCTTCTTGGCTCTTACACTTTTACCACTAATTGGATTCTTAGCAGGAGTAAGTTTCTGTTATCTAGGAGGTGCATTTATCCCACCAAGCATTCTTGGACACTAGTAACTTCAAATTCTTATATTATAAGAGAGTTCAAATCATGTTATAGGCTCCATCCTTTATTTCATGAGGCTGAGTTTCCTTGACAATCCGTTTAGCATGACTTATTTGAATGGGTTTATCAAGTTTAAATGCTAACATGGAAGTAGGCGAACATTGAGCTGATCCGAATTGATGAGACTATATGATTCTCTATTCACCAACTTATTGCCAATTTACTGCTAAGTTGTTTGGAAATAATATATGCATTATTTCTCTTTTTAGCATGTAACAATCATGTTATTCTCAAGGTTTTTGTGATTCGTGTTTGATTGATATTACTAAATCTTTATCTGCTTGGCAGCTGTTACGTCTTGGGGTGAACCTAAAAAATTTCCCAGGATCAGCGGTACCAGCTACATTTGCCATCCTCTTCCATGTTGGCATTGCGGCGGTTTTGCTACTTTATGTGCTTTTCTGGTTGAAGGTTCTCTCATTTAATCCCTGCTCTTAGTAGATTATTATTAACTAGTGAATTGTTTATTTAGTCCTCTATTTCTTTATTCAATCTGCAGCTATACTTATTTTATACGTTTCCATTCTGTACAGTTCAATTTGTTCACAACTTTGAAATTACTCGGATTCTTGGGAGCCTTCCTGCTGTTTGTGGGACATCGGACTCTCTCTTACCTTGCCTCGACATCAGCCAAGTTGAAATCTGCTTAGTGAGACTACTAAATTTTGTTGTAGGGCCTCTTAGAAATTAAATTAACTCTAGTGCTGCCAGAATTTTCCTCTGTAAAACTGGTCCAAAAAAATCTGTAGAAGTAAAATGAAAATTTCCAGGAAAAAAAGTGTTTTTATTTCAACTCTTGAAGGAGAATAGACAAAGGGGGTGATTTAAAGTTGATATTGAAGATTATAGCTTACATTGGCCTTGTTTATGGAATTTGTAGCAAGTGTAGAATTGAATCACGTTATTGATGTTTGTTCTCAGATGGGAACATGGGGTGGACTAGCAATCCCCTGGAATTTTAGTTTAGTCAAATACTTAGACCTCAGCTCGGATGCCTATCCCCTGGAATTTTAGTTTAGTCAAATACTTAGACCTCAGCTCGGATGCCTATCCACTCACCACTCGTGGCTTGTGGTCGAGTTACTTGTTCACTATTTCACTGGTACTTCACCGGCTTTCGTGACAGATGGTACGAAACTAAGATGGATGCTGGTTTTGCTTGTAACTCAAATTATCAATGTTTTAAAATCCAACCTGGAACTGGAACTGCTTTGGTTACTGGTTTTTAGGTCGGTGGTTCGATTATTCTGTCCAAATGAATGATTCATTGTAATTTAAAAAAATAATACAAACAAAAATAAAAATAATTAAACAAAAAATTGCAAAAAACTGTTGGCCAGGTCAAATGGGTTGATGGCTCAACCTCCTGGGTCAGTGGGTTACTGACCAAATCAATGATTTTTGGCAGAGGACTGTGTCAGGAGTGAAAGGGGAACCAGTTGCCCGGATCAACGGCTGAATGATCCAACATTCCGGATCAACAACATTTCGGAAGCCATGCAAACTAATGATTTTCCAGCTGCAATAATATAAGCTCATCTTTCAAAAAAGATGGTAGCTGTATTTGGTGTTTATAAATAAGGGTACTTTATTTAGTTAACATTTATATTTTGAGGTATTAGTGCAAAACTAATATTGATCAGTAAGAGTAGTTTATCAATTTCTCGTCCATTAACAAGTCCCCCTTTGGTTTGGTGGTCAAAACCTCAAACTCGAGGGACAGGGGAGGTATAACGTATAAGTAATAACTCCATGACCTTAGCATTTTTTCTCTAGATTTAATATCCTTCAATGTTCCTTTTTTTATTTATTTTGTCATTTTGTGTGCGCATGTGAGTTTGGACCAAAATATCGACATGCATATTGCGCAATTGAATTCATTTCAAGGGGACGATACTCATGCTTCAAGATTGTTTCAGGTTTCAAGGTTCGAAGTTTGGACCAAGCTATGAAGTCTCAAGTACTAACAATCGAATATGGTTTTTTCCCTAATATTTGTAGGCATTTCTGTGGATTCAAAAACCGAATCCTTTCACAATAGGATTTTCAAATGTGAGGGGAACACGCATTGAGCACGGTTGAACGTAGAGAGCTAGCGAAAAAACCCTAAGCTTGAAGGACAAATACCTAGGGGCGAAGTTTTGGATATGAAAGAATAAAACTGAGACATATAGGGATCTCATTGAGAAGATTGAACAGAGAAGGGAGTCTTGGCAAGTAAAAACTCTCTCAGGCAGGCAGATCCACATTAATCAAATCAATGGCACAACTCACAAGTAATTCCGCAGTACATAATGATGATGGACCGTCTTCCCAAAAAAGATTTACAATGAATGGAGAAGCTACAAAGGAATTTCTGGTGGAAAAATAAAGACAAAAGTTAAAAGAACATAAGTCGGGAATTGCAAACCAAAACATCTAGGAGGGTTGGGGTTTAGGAGAGCGAGAGAAGCTCTCCTATAGCTCTACTTTCCAAACAAAATTGGAGATTATTGTCAAAAAATAACAGCTTGTGGGTGAAACAAATGGAGAGCAAATACCAGAAAAATAATGAAAGTTTCTTCCAAGCAAATGCAAAAGCCAGCTACTCAACTTGGTGGAACACAACGATAAGAATGAGGGCATTTCTATAAAAGCCCTTTGTTAGAATATCTAGTGTTGGACAGCCGGCTATCTAACCACGTGTTAATCGCCGCTTGTATCAAATTGGTTATAAGTCAGTTGCGGTTCTGCGATGAAGTGTATTTATAAATACCCTCATTACATTCAACACATTTTGCGATGAGATTCATACATTTGCGATGAGTTCTTTTCCTCTGTTTCCTCTGTCTTGATTTTTACATGGTATCAGAATTTGTAATTTCTTCCGCTGCTGCAGCAATCTGTGATTCCTCTCAATTTTTTTTTCACCTTTTTTGTCTCTTATCACTGAGTTTCTCCTTCTTGCTGTTGCTTCCGCTGCTGATTCTTCCAACCATGACGTCAACACCGGTAATGACATCAACAATGGTGACAGCCATAGAATCCGATCCAGCATCTCCTTACTACCTATGCCCATCCGATAACCTAGGGAGCATTCTTTTATCTTTTTCCTTGACCAGAGCAAAGAATAAATACTGGTTTGTGGACGGATCTTTACCACGACCACCAAGATCATCACTAGACAAGAATGCTTGGGTTAAAGTAATTCAATTGTGGTTTCTTGGTTGTTTAACTCTCTGGCCAAAGAACTTCACGAGAGTGTAGCATTCATTGACTCAATTTCTGAGATCTGGAAAGAGTTAGAAGAAAGATTTGCGCAGAGCAACGTCCCGCGGTTCCATAAGCTAACTGTAAACTCAAAGGGCTGTGGGATGAACTCGGAAGTCTCACCGATCTTCCTGAGTGCACATGCAAAGCATTGAAACATTTCATTATTGATCGTGAAAAAGAAAAACTCCACCAATTCTTGATGGGTTTAAATGAATCTTTCAACATCATTCGATCGAACATCGGATCGATTTTGAACAGGGCGTATTCCCTTTAATCTAAGAAGAGTGCCATATGCTATAAATCTCTCTTCGAGGATCATCCAATCCTGAAGCTACTGCATTGAGTACTGTATCAAGATCCATGCCTCGTGACTCTAAGAATCACAATCGTTCAAGGTACATTTGCGGTCACTGCAAGAAAACTGGGCACACAAGGGAGCGATGTTACAAGCTTGTAAGTTATTGATCGTGAAAAAGAAAAACTCCACCAATTCTTGATGGGTTTAAATGAATCTTTCAACATCATTCGATCGAACATCGGATCGATTTTGAACAGGGCGTATTCCCTTTAATCTAAGAAGAGTGCCATATGCTATAAATCTCTCTTCGAGGATCATCCAATCCTGAAGCTACTGCATTGAGTACTGTATCAAGATCTATGCCTCGTGACTCTAAGAATCACAATCGTTCAAGGTACATTTGCGGTCACTGCAAGAAAACTGGGCACACAAGGGAGCGATGTTACCTTGCCAGTTGGGAGAAGGGTAGACCAAATCGAATTATGTGCTAATGTAGACACTAATAATGAATCACACATCACTGTGACCATCTAACAATATAACCAGTTGCCGGGTCTTTTGATTCAGGGGTGGCCAGGAGCCGAGCTCTTCACGAGTTACTCGAGCTCGGCTTGCCTCGGTTTCAACCGAGCTTGAGCCTAATTATATATATAATAAAAATATTATAATTATAATTATTATAATTCTTATTTTTTAAATATTAAATAACAAATAATTTTATATATAATTTTTTATTTTTATAACTTTTTTCTCAGATTAGCTCGAGCTTACGAGTTTTTAACTCAAGCCGAGCTCGAGCTCAAGCCCTGTAATACATTGGCGAGCCGAGCTCGAGCCTCATACTATTCGGCTTGGCTCAGCTCGGCTCGAATCCACCCCTATTTTGAGCAAAGAAAACCATGAATCAGATGCAACTGTGAATCTTTCTGGTAAGCACTCCACTATTTCTATTGGATAGTGGTGCCTTTGACCACATGGTTTCAACTACATCATTGTTATCTAGTCACACTCAATTGCATTCTTCCAAACCAATTCATCTTCCGAATGGGACTGGTACTACTGCATCCCATTACAGAACTGTGTATCTTGGGCCGAACCTAATAATCAATCATGTTTTACATGTCCCACAATTCCACTGCAACTTACTCTCTTTTAGCAAACTTACAAAGGAGTTGCAATGTGTTGTTCTGTTTTTTTCTTCATTCTGTGTCCTCCAGGACCTAGTCTCTTGGACCGTGATTGGGACGGGTAAACTCGTTGATGGATTGTATTACTTTACCATTGTTGCCTTTGTAGATAATTTTGTTGTGTTTACTGCAACTTCAAATAAAGGTTTGGAGCTTTGGAACAGACGACTTGGACATGCCTCATCACAACGCCTTTCTCTCATTCCAGACTGTTCCTCAAAACAGCTATGCAATGCATGTCATAGAGCCAAATAGTCCAAGATACCATTTCCTGTTCAACCATCTTAGGCTGCTCAACTCTTTGACTTGATACATTCTGATTTGTGGGGAGGGTACAAGACTCCATTACATACGGGCGCACATTACTTTCTTACTATTGTTGATGACCATACGAGATGTACTTGGGCTTATCTTTTGAAATTTAAATCTGAAGTTGTTCATCATCTTATATCATTTTGTGCTATGGTTAAAAGGCATTATGATTACTCTATTCGACAAATTCGATCTTAATGGCAAGGAATTCTTTTCTAGTCCTCTTCTCAATTATTTTGCTAAACAAGGCATAACACAACAACATTCTTGCATAGCAAGCCCTTAGCAAAATGGTGTTGTAGAGTGCAAGCACCGTCACCTGCTGAAAGTCGCTCATGTGCTATGCTTCCAAGCTTCATTGCCTGTCACATTCTGGGGCAAATGTCTCCTCACGGACACATACATCATTAATCGGTTACCAACACCATTCATTTCAGAAAAATCTCTGTCAGAGGTGTTACTACAACAAACCCCAAGTTACAACCATATGCAAGTGTTTGGTTGTCTCTGTTATGCACAAGCACAGCCCAAACTTCGGGATAAATTTTCTAGCAGGGCAACACGTGTTTGTTGTGTACCCCTTTGGTCAAAATGGGTATCTTGTTTTTGACATTGCCACTGGCCACATTTTCACGTCCCAGGATGTCACATTTTATGAAGATCAATTTCTATTTCAGACTTCACACTCGCCATCAACTACTCCTATCATCCCATTGCTTATGCCCGGCCATGATTCAACTATATCACCAGATCCATTGGTCCATAACATGCCTGAACCGCCACCATCAATCACAAGCCCACCTACTGGCAACCCAGAAACAGAAAGCTTAGATTCATCTAGGCATTTGTCTCTTGATGATATACCAGCTAATGCAAGCTCATCTGAAACCGCTATTGAAGAGAATAACCAAGTTTCAACCCAACTGGTTCATGATCGTGTAGACCTCGGAAAGTCTCCACCCGCTTACGCTCATATGACTACCACCTACCTCCTTCTCTTGCTAATGCGATTACTAGCCTGGGTGCTTGTCTAGCTACAATTTCCTCATAACCATCTTCTTTTTTTGAGGTTGTTAATGATCCCAAGTGGCGACAGGCAATGGCAGCCAAAATTGAAGCACTTGAGCGAAATATTACATGGACGCTTGTAGATTTGCCACCTAGCAAGAAGGCCATAGGGTCAAAATAGGTCTATAAGATCAAATTGAGAGCTGATGGTAGTATTGAGAGATATAAGGCCTGTTTGGTGGCAAAAGGCTACAATCAAGTCAAAGGCCTTGACTAATATAATACCTTTGCACCTATAGCAAAGATTGTTACTGTTTGTTGCCTACTCATAGTGGTTGTTGCCAAGTTTGGGAACTTCACYAGCTTGATGTAAACAATGCATTTCTCGATGGGGAGCTCCATGAAGATGTTTACATGTGCATCCCTCTTGGATTTGCTAAAGATGGTGACCACCATATTTGCAAATTCCAAAAATCCTTATATGGCCTCAAACAAGCTTTACGGATGTGGTTCCAAAATTTCACTCACGCCCTCGTGCATGCCAATTTTACCCAATCAGTGGCAAACTACTCACTTTTTACAAGCAAGAAAGACAACTCCTTTGTTGCATTCCTTGTGTATGTAGATGACCTAATCATCACAGGAAATGATCATATTTGTATTGCCTCCCTTAAATCTTATCTCAATGAGTGCTTCACCATCAAGGATCTTGGACCCTTGACATATTTCTTGGGCATTGAGGTGGCTCGTTCAGACTCGGGCATCTTCCTAAGTCAGCATAAACACATCATTGACATTTTGAACGAAACTAGGATGCACGAATGCAAACCATGTTCAAATCCTATGGAACAACAACGACACTTCAATTATGATGCCAGTCCAACTCTTTCAGATCCAGCCCAACACAGGCGTTTAGTGGGACGCCTACTCTACCCTATGGCCACAAGGCTTGACCTTAGCTTCGCAATACATCAACTCAGTCAATTCATGTAAGATCCACGAGAAGAGCACCTCCAAGCCGCTTTACGGGTGGTCAGATATCTCAAGTCCACTCCTCATCATGGCATCTTTATCCCATCCACTAATGACTTTGTGGTCTGGGCCTTCTGTGATTCCGACTGGGCTAGTTGTCCACTTACCCGACACTCTACAATAGATTATATCACGATGCTTGGGAAATCTCCAATCTCTTGGAAAACCAAGAAGCAACACATTGTGTCATGATCCTCTGCAGAAGCTGAGTATCAAGCTATGACAATCACAACCTCAGAACTCATTTGGCTTAAATGGGTCTTTGCGGATTTAACAAGTCACATCGCAACACCCATGAAGTTGTACCGTGATAGTCAAGCTACCCTCTATATTGCTGCCAATCCAGTTTTTCATGAACGCACAAAGCACATTGACATTGACTGTCATTTTGTCCGAGAAAGTATTCAGAGCAATGAGATCAAAACTTTCCACATCAATAGCAACAACCAGCTAGTAGATCTCCTAACCAAAGCTCTCAGGGTGTCACTATTTCAAAGCCTCAATTCTCAAGTTGAGGAATGGGAAATAAATTGACATATCAGAGGACCCCCTGGATACCATGGCTTGAGAGCCACAAACCCACCCTCAAACCAAACACAACTCGCCCTCAGGCAGAGAAAAAAAATCAAAAGTTTCATAACTTAAGATCACAAATGGGATCTTGAGAAGCTGATTCTTTTCTTTGAAGACCAAGACATTGAAGCAATAAAAAACATCCCCGTCATCCACAACAGAGGATGTGCTCACATGGAAGAGCACCAAAAACGGTGAACTTTCAGTTAAGTCGGTGTATCAATTGCTGATCCACAAGAAGAGACAAGGGACTCAAGCCAGAAGAAAATAGTCGAAATTTTGGAAAATAAAAAGCCCATTCCGGTGCCAATTATTTCTCTGAAAGTACATGAGGAATAGAGTTAAGTGCAAAACAAATCTTTGGCAGTTGAGACAACAAAATGACACAAATTGCACTTTCTGTAATGAGTCGCCTGAAATGCAACAGCACCTCTTCTTAGAGTGCCCAACAACTAGAGCATTGTGGATGTATTTTCACATAGGGGTTCACCCGCAGCTCCTGGCTCAAAAAGATCCATCACTAACCCTCCAATGGTGGATAGAGCACAACAAATGCAACATCTCCTGGCAGAATCATTGCCTATCAATCGTAGCAGCCATCTTTCGAGCAATTTGGGATATAAGGAACAGGCAGCTATTTCTCAAAGAGAAAGCATACCCATGGAAAATCATACAACGTGTAAACACTTGCATGCTCAAACAACCAGCTATTTTGGTTCAAGGCAACGCTCCAAATAGTCATCTGGAAATCCATCAAAGGGCAGATCAGATTGAAAACACTACTGATGTCGAGGCAAAACTTTACGTAGATGAATCATGGGATCCCTCTACCAACACAGGAGCAATAGGTTTTGTAATTCTAACCACACAAGGTGCTTGTCTTTATGCAACAGGAGAACCATGCAAAGAGCTCGGACTAGTATGACAAAAATAATCAGTCTCCCACATGTTGACCGAAAATGCAAAGGGAGCCTCTTCTGGTTTCTGCATCTCTTGGTTTGTGCTTAATGAATATTTTGCTAAAAAAAATGCATTTGACGAAAAACTCCAAAGTCAAAAGAGGCCGGCCTCAAGCTCAACGGCAGGCGGCACGGCAGCCACTGGAGTTTCCTTTGCCCTCTGTCTCTGTCACTGTCCACCGCGACTTTTCTTCACTCAAGACTCAAGAATTAAGCCGTGATTCCAGTGGTTATGAGAGCTCCTTTTGGCAAGACTTATCACTCTTTTAGGATATATATTCCAATCTGACGCTCTCGTTTGAGCTATCCCAATGAGGCCACCTCATTCAATTTGTTATCCGGAAAGAAGGGTTCCCCTTATCTTCGAAGTTACTCAAAATTGTTATCTGGTATAATGAAAAACTATAAAAAGGGAGATCTGTCAGTACCAAGACCGCAAGATTTCAACCGTCAAATTGCATCTCATCACATCTCCATGCACAGTCACAAGTACAGTTACAGGTACTCTCCTTCCCTGCTCTCACTTTCTGAGCATGAATTCCCTGCAAATTTAGTGGCTTCTTAACACTGAAAACCAAAAAACCATTGCTCAATGGCCATATTATCGAATGAAATCTCGTGTTACCGTCTCCCCTTCAGTACCCACATAAAACCGACCACCCTCTATTCTCATCGCAGCTGCATAGTTTATTACAGGAACCCTGAACTGGATGGCCCCAACATCAGAAACCGACTTAGTTTTAGGGCTTCTGCTGAAACAAGGACAACCCATTACCAGTCACTTGATATTAAGGAGACCCATCTCATGAAACTCCTTAATAGATCTTGCAAAGCTGGGAAATACAATGAATCACTGTATTTCCTTGAGTGCATGATAAATAAAGGTTACAAGCCAGATGTGATTCTTTGTACGAAGCTTATCAAAGGTTTCTTCAATTCGAGAAAAGGAGAAAAAGCGGTGAGGGTCATGGAAATCTTGGAATCACATGGAGAACCTGACGCATTTGCTTATAATGCACTCATCAGTGGATTCTGTAAGATGAATCGTATCGACAGTGCAACCAAGGTATTGGACAGGATGAAGATCCGAGGCTGTTTGCCTGATGTGGTCACTTATAATATATTGATAGGGAGTCTTTGCGGTAGAGGGAAGTTAAGATTGGCTCTGAAGGTATTTGATCAATTACTCAAAGATAGTTGTCACCCAACTGTGATTACTTACACAATCCTGATAGAGGCAACCATTGTTGAAGGTGGCACTAATGATGCAATGAAGCTTTTGGAAGAAATGCTGTCAAAAGGGCTTCGACCTGACATGTATACTTACAATGCAATTATCAGGGGAATGTGCAGAGAAGGGATGGTGGATCGAGCTTTTGAATTTATTAGGAGTTTACCCTCTCAGGGTTGTGAACCAGATGTTGTATCATACAACATTTTGTTACGGGCATTCTTGACTCAGGGAAGATGGGATGATGGGGAGAAACTGGTGGCCGGGATGATCTCCAGGGGTTGTGAGCCAAATTTGATCACTTACAGTATCTTGATCACTTCACTTTGTCATGAAGGGAAAGTTGAGCAGGCACTCGAGGTATTGAAGGTTATGTTGACACGGGGTTTTACTCCTGACACTTACAGTTATGATCCACTTATCTCTGCATTCTGCAAAGAGGGAAGGTTGGATTTGACACTTGAGCTCTTGGAGTGCATGATCTCCAATGGCTGTGCCCCTGATATTGTCAACTACAATACAATAATGGCAGCTCTGTGTAAGAGTGGAAATGCAGATCAGGCTTTGGAGATATTCGAGGAGCTTGGTAGAGCAGGTTGTCCTCCAAATGTGAGTTCATACAACACAATGATCAGTGGATTGTGGAACAATGGGGCAAGATTGAAGGCTTTGGAGATGGTTTCAGAAATGATAAGCAAAGGTATGGAGCCTGATGAAATTACTTATAACTCACTGATATCATGCTTGTGCAGGGAAGGTATGGTAGATGAAGCTATGGGCCTGTTGGAGGACATGGAGGGTAGTGGTTTTCGCCCCACAGTCATCAGCTATAATACTGTGCTCCTTGGATTGTGCAAGGCCCATAGAATTGACAATGCCATTGATTTATTGGTGGTAATGGTGAAGAAAGGTTGTAGGCCAAATGAAACCACTTGCATCCTACTGATTGAAGGCATAGCCTATGCTGGATGGAGAGGAGAAGCTATGGAGTTGGCAAATGCACTTTTTTCTAGGGAAGTTATCTCTATTGATGCTGTCAAACGGTTAAACAGGATATTTCCCATGCTCAACGTGTACAAAGATCTCACACAATTAGAAAGCAAGAAATAGTAAGTCCTTGTTGTTATGGACTTATGGTCCACATTTGCTCACCCCAATTCTTTAAGGGTTGGTGGTGCTTCCATTATTTCTCATTCTTTCCTCTATAAAGGTAGAGAGGGCTGCAAGTCAGGGTGCCTGATTTGAAGAACTTCAACTTATCTGGCTCTGGTTAGGGTTCAGGCTCTTGAAAATCTAACAAAATTGGAACCCAATTTGCACCCCTTAAAGGGGTGTGTGTGATTCATATAAGTTACCAGGGAGATTTAATCAGCTCTTCCATGATGAAACTTGTATCACAGGAGCAGGTGGATTAGCAAATATTAAGATTTTCCCCAAGGCTGGGGCTATGTTATCCTAAATTCCAGGTTGCCTTCTGAAATTAGCAAAACCTCAAGGAAATTGGCCGCAGTTGAGGAAAGAATAATTATGTTCAATGCATCAGTCGATCTATCTTGGCCTTGCGCAGAAGTTCCTGAAAAATCCTTGATTTCTAAAGATAACAAAGGAGGAATAATACATTATATGAATACAGTGTTGGGATGGAACTGAACACCATTAGTCTGAAAGAAAGCCCCACCTAATTAAGCAGCAAAGTTGTAAACCCAAAGGAACCACTCCACTCATTAATCCATTTCTCCCACTTGAGATCTTTTTGGAGCCATCTGTATGTGTATCATGCAAAATCTGTATTAAACTGTGTTTTCTATATTCATGGAAAGTTTTCTTTGAGCTGTGATATGATAAAGCCTTTTATGCAATTCTTTTAGTGGGAAGAAGCAGCCAAGTGCACTATACAGCGGTCTTCCCTCTGCTGCACTTTATGCCAAATGCTAACTATTTTTTACACAATGAAAAAAGAAGTAGAATTCTCCCAACTTGTTTTTATTTTTCAAATTGCTTTCCTTTTCTCTCTTCTCAAGGTTGCAAGTTGCAACCACAAGTGCAATCTGATTGAACAATTACGCAATCCAATTGAACAATTGCTTTCCTTTCCTTGTCTCTCTCTTAGTTCTATTTGTACTGCAGTGAAAAGGTAAAGGCGATATTGCAGCCAAGGTTCTAAATATCGACACGGGTACCGGTGTATCAACCTGTGTTGGTGCTTTTTTTATGTGTTTTACTTTTTTTTTTTCAAAATCGGTTCAGAGGAGTTGGTTTAAGGCCCAATACAACCCCTATAGGGGTGTATCGGGTAGCCACTGGCACAATACTTATCAGCTGATACGGGCTGATACATGTCGATACTTTGAACCTTGATTGCAGCACAGTTTAAACAGGTCMCCCCCCCCCCCAATGTGAACAACCTACCTGACCTGTTTTCATAGTTCATTGATTTATATCCAATTTACCTCGTATAATATGACCCAAAAGTAAGGATGATGGAGCATGATCCACCCTCAAGAAGAAGTTCAGTCCAAAGTAGAATTCATACTCCGGGGTTGAACTAACTGGTGATTCAGCTTTACTTCTTATTTGTGGGTCCTTGTAGGAGAAATTCCCAATAAAAATGGATGTCCATATGCATTGCACGTTTTCTATTCAAAAGTTGATAAATCTAGCATACCCCTTAAAATAGTCAGCATAATTATCATTTTATTATTAGCCTCTAGGCTGCATTTCCTGCAATTTATTGTGTTTAGTTGCATGGAAAATGCCATTTACGCTGTTTAGTGGCAGGTAAAATGGCCATGGTAACAAATTTCCCCATGGTAAATGGCCATTTTGCACAAAGCAGTCTCTCTCATACTCGAAGTTGCATTCTCATGCTTGCCAACCCAAGATTTACCAGTACTCCAAGCCAAATATTGGGCAAATTAGCACATGGTTTAGTTTCTTATCAGATTTACCAAGAAAATGATTTGTTTTCCTTCCTTTTACATATAACCAACTGCAAAAAAATAAATCCAACATACCATGTGAAGCAATTCTCTGATGTAAACCTAGCACAAAATGTTAAAAGCAAATCTCTACTTAAGTTGTGTCATATACACGCCTCATAGTGGCTTGGAGTACCGTTTCTGGAGTTAAGTGAGAAAGGTTTCTTCTTCCTCCCCCCACCACCACCAAACAAATAAACAAACATTTTGCTTTAGCTTTTCTCCACAATGAAAGCTTTAGTTTATAGCACCACCGGTATATCAGCAAGGATATACCTGATGATGAATGCAATGGCTGAAAGATGAGTAAGTTAGCCATGAATATTCTGACATAGGAAAATTCTGAGGAAAATGATATGGTGCCACTCGAGTAGGCCTTTTGATCAATGCATCTGCAAATAAGGCTGCGTTTAGTTGTGTAAAGACACGAGTGCAAATAGGCTAATAAGTGTAAAATCGGTCTATTTTTGCTTTAGATTTGACCTTCTTGTTTATTTGTCAAAATTAAAACAGGAAGTGGTGTGGTCCCATATAATGTGCAAGATAATGGAGGTAGGAGGGTTATTTGAATGGTATTGAACTAGGAAGCAAGATAATTACAAATGAGACAAAAAAAAGAACAAATTTTGTATCAAGTAAGAGTATAAATCATGATTACAAACAAATAGATACAAAACTGAACCAGGGGCAAATTTTGTATCATGGTTACTGATGCTGCGCAATCCGGGCACTCCTAGCTGGCAGCTGACTAGCTCCTCGCTGGCGACGGACGGTACCTGAGAAGAGAGCGGTGAAGGATTCCCGGGGGACTTGCCCGGTGGGAATACTCCGATGCTTAAGTTAGAACGCTGGAGAAGCAATAAAGAGTGTAAAGAAGGCTAAGAGTGTAGGTCACGCTAGATCATTGAGTTAGCTCGAGAGAAAGTTTGAGATATTCAAGATAAGATATCAGATATTCTTGTCAAATTGGGTGTAACCGCCACTGGACCTCTGTCGCAGTCGTTATCCACCAGGGCTGCGCAGGTAACCGTTGCAGTGTACTACCCAATCGGATGAGTGACACGTCCCGGAAGGAAAGACACGCCACCACCTGTCAAGAGACGTGGGCGCAGACTTGTCGGGCTGGCAGGGACTGCCCCGTCGGTCAGGAGACGTGGCGTAGTCTGGCAGGTACGGTCTTGTCAGATAGAAGCTTCCTGAAAACATCGCGTCGCTCAGTAGCGAGCTGCCCTGTTGCGAGCTACCCTGTTGCAAGCTACCCTGTCGCGAGCTACCCTATCGCGAGCTACCTTGTAGCGAGCTCCTGAGGGTTTCCCGAGGTGATTCCTCCTGAAGTGACCCTTTAGGCAGTTTTCTACCTAAGTACTGGAGCAAGCTGGTTACTCTAGCTCGCGAGCTGGGATAAACTTGTCTTGGAGTATTCCCTTTTAGTACATCGGAGGTCCTTGAGCTCGCGCTGTAGCGGGCTTCTCCTGTAGCGAGCTATGACGTAGCAAGCTGTCTTGCGGGCCCGTTACTTAGTCGCGGTCAGATTGTGATGCTGAGCTATTACTTATGCTGAGTCATGTCCACGTGTCACTGTCCCAAGGGGTCGGGTCAAATCACCCTCCATCAATTGCCCCCTACTCCTCGGGCTAAGAATGTTACCTTAGCGTGAGGAGTTCATGAAGTGTGACGGGTGGATTTGACTGAAATTCAAACTTGATTGACTGCTTGCAATTAATGTGCGCGCGAAAGTCAGGGGATTTCTGACTTTTCGAATGCCCAGAAACGCGCCAAAGCAGCTCTTAACTTCGAATGTCGTGCAGCCGTCATTACCTCAATCATGGAAGACATGCAGCCAGTCAAATTTCGGTTTCAGAAGACGTGCGGTCATCTTGACTGTGAACCGTCAGATCTGTCTCAGTCCGGGCCATCGATTTGAGGGCACAATAGATATAAATAGGGAGGCCCCAGACCTCACTTTCTTTTACGCTAACTTGCCTTGTCTTCGGATTCTGAGGTCACGTCTCCATCTAGCTGCCCGAGCTCTTTTCCTGTTCACACCGTTTCTTCTTTTCCGGTGAGTCTTATCATCTTGTCAATATGTCTGGATATCCGTACCACGTCTATTCCCGGGACGGTAACCAGGATGACGCCCCCTCGAGCTCAGGGAAAGCTTGGGGGCAGGCTTCGGAGGCTCGGGAGGCCTCCGGTGAGACGGCTTCCACCTCTCGAGGCAAGGAGCCCAACAAGCTTCGGTCCCTCCTCTATGTCGATGGAGAGACTTAGATCTTTAGTTCTTCATTTTAACCTTCCCAGAGACCTCATCTACAGTCTCCCTTCTGGTAACTTTCCCTGGGAGCATGGTCCCAACGAGATAATGATCTTTCAGGAACAGCTCGAAGCCGGCCTGCATCTTCCTTTGCATCCTCTGATAGTGGAGGTTTTGAACCATTTCAACGACACCATTGACCAGCTTCACCCCAACTCCATTCGAAATGTAGTTGGGACTATTTCTCTGTTTTATGAGTATTGCCTTCCCCTCAATCTTGATATCCTCTCCACCATCCTTTGCATCAAGAATGCTTCTCCCGGAGCGCCTCCAAAAAGGCGTTCCTACTATTTTTCTCCCCGCCGTGGCTTCAAGCTCTTATACGATCTGCCGAATAGGATCCCGGCCTGGAAGCGGGACTATTTTGTTGTTCGCAACCCTGAAGGGTGGCCCTTCCCAACTCACTGGAGGGCCGCCATCCAGGATTCAGGGGTTGAGTTGGACCCCGAAGTTCAAAAAATGTTGCAGTCCTGGGTAGCAGTTGGCTTCCATTGGTCGAACTACTTGACCGAGGAGAAGCTCGCGTAGGCCGATCTGAGCCCGGGTAGGTTGCATTTTAGGACGCATAGTGCCTTAAATTTTTTTTTTTACCGGACTAATACCTTGTGGTTTTCTTTTTGGCAGCCATCATGTCTAGTGTTGACGCACGCCGCCTTCTTTCCAGCAACCAGAAGAGCAAGGCCAAGAGGTCGCGTCCTGACCAAGCCTCCACTTCTAGGGGTGCTGAGTTTGAGTCTGCTGACCCGGCCTTCGCTTCTCCACCACCTAAGGTTCCACCTGTCCCATTCGAGGGAATCGCCACGGAAGGTAGCGCAAAAGGACTCGAGCTCCCGGCGCAAGGGCAGTTTCCTTCTTCTAGGCCATCCCGCCCCTTCCCCTTCCCGTAGTTCCCTATCGGGAACTGGGAGAGTGTTAATGACTACATCATGGCTGCACGAAAGAGCCGAAGGGCGATCTTTCACGAGGAGGTCACTAGCTAGGGAGAGATGGACCCCAAGGAGCTCGCCAGGTTTGCCTCCGCCCACTGCATGGTGGTAAGTGTCTTTTCTCTTCCTTCTTTCTTTTTTTCTCCTTTTCTCTTTTCTGACCTTAGTCTCCTGTTGGTAGGTGAACTCCGCCATCCACGCCATGGCCCTCCAGACCAACATCCACTCTGGCGATGCTCGTAATCAAAGGTCAACCGTGCAGAAGCTCCAGGGCGAGCTCGACCGGGCTCGAGGTGAAGTCCTTCAGGCTCAAAAGGGGAGTGAGGCCCAGGAACTGCTCGTTCGGGACCAGGAGGTGCAGATCGCCCGGCTATCTGAGGAGAGTGCTCGCTACTGGGAGGAGTTGTCGAGGGTGGCGGTGGAGAGGGAGCTTCTTCGCCAGCAGGTTCGAGACTTGGAGTCGACTCTTTAGGACCGAACTCAGAAATTCGACGCCATGGTGGAGGCTGAGCGGGCTAAAGCGGTCTGGGACTTTAAGGACTCCCAGGAGTATCACGACCACCAAGTGGAGTATGGCTCGAGCTCCTACCGCTCCAGATTCAAGCTCTGCCACTTGTTG